GGTTTGAAAGTTGTTTTTTTGTGTGTGTTGTAGAGAACTCTGTTTTGAAAGATAAAGAGTTTTTGAAATTCTCAAAAAATTCTCTCTCTCTCTCTCTCTCTCTCTCTCTCGCTATTAATCACACTGGCTGGGTTTAAATCAACAGATGGACATCTGCTCACACATATACATTCACTCACAAACCAAATGAATGAACACATCAAATCCAGTTATACGCGCAGTCTTGGCTCAACTATGCTCATATTCAAAGAGAACTATATGTGCTTTTAATAAATGATGCTTTTTCTGTGATAATGATGATTCTTGATGATCATAATATTCATAAACATAGCGATATATAGGTGTCAGATTTAAAAATGAGGACTGCCTGATGGCCCGTGGCCAGCGTAAACATTGACGCAATTGTCAGTTGCTCAATCGGGCCAGTGCTGCATCACGAAAGCCTCGCCAATTTAAATATTCAAGTGCAAGAAGACGTGAAAGAGAACTCGATTCAATAGTGTGAGAAGTGCCCAGAAAGCCGCTTCTCAGACAGCGTGCGAATGCTGAATTGAGCTCTCTTTCATGTGTTCTTGTAGCCTGGATGCCAGCCGAACTTAGCCCCGCCCACAACATTTGTGTTCGGTCTGGACTTGATCCGTTGAGAAGCAAGTATGCCCGAACCAAAGCTGTTCGGACCAATCAAATTGTCAGGGCGGGGTTTATACGATGATGGACAGATGATCAACAGTAACGTAATCATCCACGTCACCAAAGAGCGCTTGGGTTGAATTCGTTTACAACAAAGTATGGCCGCCGCTGGAGAATTTAGATGTGTAGATTCAGCCATCGCATCTGATATAGAAGATGTAGACAGCGCATTCATTTTAAAAGAGGAACAGAGAACCGCGATCAAGGCATTTGTCGATCGGAAAGATGTTTTTGCCGTCCTTCCTACGGGATTCGGTCTATCCAATTGAGTGCAGAGGCATTTTTTTTCCTAGTTCGGTTGAAACGCGCCCCATAATCACAGCCCAATGGAGCAGGAATCTGGCTAGAATCTGAGTATGACGACGTCAGGCTAGTGTTCTTGCGCTTGAACGAACATATTCGCACTGGTCTCCTGGAGTTTCCTACTGAACATAATCTATTATATCGTAAGTGTAACAGTATATTGGATCCGTGCAGCTCTTAAAGTGACAGCAGCCTAATTAACCTGCTGCTGTCTGTGTTTTTAATGCTAATTAAACAACAAAAGACAAAAAAAAAATCACTCACTGCCCTTGACTGAATAACTTATGTAACTTTAATAAGAATGAATCTATATTTAGTTTATATAGTGAAGACTACGCAGTGCTATTTTACATTTGATTCATTTTTTCTCTACCTGAAAATTACTATTAGACTTACCTGAAAAACATGAAAAGCAGTGTTTCTTTTATTTGTATGTTTGTTCTATTGTATTTGTGCCATTGTATGTAATTTGATTATTTCTTCTTATTTTATTACTGACAGTTTTCTTGTCTTTAATGATATTTGAAATTTATATGAGTTAGGCAAGTAATTTTAGGTGGCACAACCTTATTTATTAAGGTTATGGGTCAAAAACAACGAAGACAATAACTAGGCCTATTTTATTAATTTATTACTTTTTTTGTGCTGGGGCCAGTGAAAAGTTTGGCAGGGCAAGTAAAAATGTGAACCACTACCCTGACCGGGCCAGTAAAAAAAGAGCGTTGAGCCCTGAATTACATCAAAATTTAGGTTTTGTTGCATTTAAGTTTTGGGAGTAGGTAATATTTTATTTAATTGTATTTAAAGAAATTAATTAATTAATACTTTTATTTCGTATGTATTAAATTCATCAAAAGTGGCAGTAAAAACATCTTAGTGGCAGTTACAAAAGATCTTAAATAAATGCTGTTCTTTTGAACTTTCTAATTCATTGAATATTTCACAATATTACAGTTTTTGCTGTATTTGTGATCAAATACGTGCAGCCTTGGTTAGACTAGTAGCATAATGAACAGTAATGTATATGCTATAGTCAAATTCCAAATTGGTTACAAGCTCATGTAGTAGCCTACTATAATTTACAAAGTAACTCGTGAACTGCCAAACATTATCAATATCCACAGTGATGCAACACTGGATGTCATCATAGATCAGAACCATGATGAATGAAAACATGTCAAGCATTATGACACGCCTAATCATGTCACCGCGGTTTCTGAAAAGAACCAATCAGAGCGAGCGTGTTCCCTCTAAAGCTATGGCATGAAAACATTACGAGCTGGCCGAGATAGCACAATTCGCTAATTAAAAACATTCCCCGGGTGTCTATCACGCCACCGTCGCTGGAATTAAACGACTATGATATCTCACAACACACACCCAGGTCCCGCTCTCTGGTTTCCACAGCAACAAAGAGAGCAATAAACTCCAGTGAATAGATTTTATGCCAGAGTCTCCCACCCAACACAACTATCTATCGCTGTGTTTCTTGAATAAAGATTCCCTCGGCGGCTTTCATTAGCTGGAAGGGGTCTGCAGAGATTCACACCACCGTATACACACTGTCAAATATTAGAGTTTATCGTGTCAGTGTGTGTGTGTGTCTGTGTGTGTTTGAAGGCGTGGGTGGTATTTCCTTCCACGCATCAGGGTGTGTGTGTGTGGATGCACTCTGTCAGCTTCGGTTCCCTCACACACAAACGCACACACATACACACGGTGGGTCGTGATCAGAGCGACGTAAGAGGATGAACATGGGCTTGGTGATTCAGCAGACATGCTACAATCAAATAGTACATCATCTCAACATTACACCAGATTATCATATGTCATATTCCAGAGCATTGAGCAGAAGCACTGAATGCATTGTATTTCATTTTGGATAATAAATAGTGTATAAACAGTGTCATACATCACAGGAGAGCTACGGGAAGTCTCCGAATCACAGTATGAACTGGTGAATGCAGAGGGAATGCAAACCTGTAAATCACTTTCCCTCCTGACCTGCCGTGCCGGAGCTCCAATGCTTTGATTTACATACTCAAGCTTTTAGCAAATTAATTAGGCCTGACGAGAGATCTGACGCTGGGTATATCTACAACAATGGAAAACTGGCAAGCTCAAAACACACTATAATCTTTAAATAACTTTTTTTATGAATTAATTGAAAACACACACACACACACACACACACACACACACATATGAAAACTATTTACATTACAAAATGTTAAAAAAAAGATTTTTTTTTTACAAAATGCATAAAGCTTGCATAGCTAATATAAGGTAAAAAATAAACAGATTTTCAAAAGTATTTTTTGTATATGTTATAATATTAAAGCACTGTAAAACTGCTTTGAAACTATATGTATTGCAAAAAGTTCTATACAAACAAACAAACTTGAATTGAAATTGAATTTTATATATATACGTCGACGTGATGCTTGAAGTTAACATTTTAGGATAATGAACATAGTTAGGATAAGTAAGTTACAGTAGCTATGTGATTGTGAATAATAACACATCTGGTTTAGTGTGCAGACACTTGAAGGAAACTCGAGCATCTCCTAAAGCACAGTAACAACACAAGAACATGTTCAATATGTTCAACAGCGCAAAGCACTAGAAATGCATTGTCCCGGCATTCACATCTGCCTTTTGTATGAGAGGAACATTTAACTAATGTAAATGTAAAGCCATTTTTAGCATAATGTAATGACCATACATAATGAAATATATAAGATCCCTGCAGAGAATCTGATTTGCAATATATATCTCATCTCCTTCTTCATGCATGAGACACTTTGAGCTTCATATTATTAAAGTTATTTATAATTCAACACTCCACAGGGTTTCTCTCTCTCTTACGGCCTGTTGAAGAGCACAGACATCATATCTGGACACTCGAGTCTCTGCCAGCAGTTCTGGACCTCGATGAGAGTCTTCTCTGACTCGGGTGTTACTGTACGAGCGTGTGCACAGGTGACTCTTACACCAACTAGAGCTAAATAACAAACCCTCTGCACAAGAAGTATAACTACGTGTAGAGAAGATCCAGTAGGGAAGAAAATCACTAATTGTTTCTCAGAGACAGCAAGTTTCAGAAGAGATTTCAGTAATGTTTAAAACTGTGCTCAAATGTCTGCAATCAAAAGTCAGGGATCTTAGAGATATGGACTCGGACATCTGTCATTAAATTCTTCTAAGACCACATGTTATGATATATACATACAATTTGAATTATTTACTTATATAATTATATGTACTGTTTATGTATATCATAAAATATCTTCCAAACCCAAGTTATATAAGCTATATATATATATATATATATATATATATATATATATATATATATATATATATATATATATAAAACAATTTTATTTCTAGGTATTAGTTGTTATTACACTAAATGTAAAAAAAAATATTAAATTGTAAATAAAACAAAGATTGTTAGTGTATGTTTAACAAGAAAATAGAAAATACCATTCTGTCTTTCGACTTGTTTTATGTTTAAGTCAACATGTCACTTGCTGTTTCTTTTTAAATAATTTCTGAAATTTACTAGACATTTCTGATTAAATTCTACACCATTTTTTATGTATACTTAATAGTTTATTATTTATCATAAGTGACTATTTTTCAAAAATCTCTCTCTCTCTCTCTCTCTCTCTATATATATATATATATATATATATATATATATAAATTCATATATTTTACTTAGAAATTAAATTTTAAGATTTAAATTTTAAACTAATTTTGTAGCTAAAATATGTATATATGTATATATGTGTACAAATTTGTCATCAAATTCTTCCAAGACCAAATTATAAAAGCTACACTAATTTTACAAATTTATTCAAATTTGAAATTTAAATTTGAAACCAAATGTACATCTTGTACTGACATCAACACATTTGTGTCCAAAGTCACAAGAGACAAAGTGTTGCAGAGGCATCATTCACACCGCTGTTCATCACTTCACGTGTGTGCCATCATACCGTAAGGGTTGCGTTTGAACGCTGGTGAGCCCCTCCTCCTGTACAGGTCTCTCCTCAGACCACTCCCCCCCTGCCCCCCCGAATTTCAGGTGTCGGAGCTCTTCGGGCTGGACGGCGTTGTACCAGTTCTGCGGGCCGCCGTCGGGCGTCATCACCGGACTGAGAGCCTCCTCCTCACCCTGACCGACCCCCTGCGCGTTCTTCACCATGTTCACCGCGTTCACCGGCAGCTGGAGCAACTTCTGCATGGTGGTCATCCTCAAGGTGTAGTCTGAAAACTTTTGCACCTGTTTAGATCCTCCGAGGCAGGTAAACACACCTGTAGATGATTCTTGAGGAGTCAAGCCCTCTCTCTCTCACACACACACACACACACACCTGTAGATTCCGTCTCAAAAGCAACAGTAGACTGAAAAGCTCCCCAGAACAAGCACGTAACAGTCCTCAGGTCTGGTCTTCAGCTGTGTCCATCAAGCAGATGTGGAGGCTTGAAAGCGCCCTGCGTCTTTTCCGTCATTCGCGTGAGGAGACGAGAAGGGAGGTGACAGTAAAAGCTGTTCTCATCCTGCTCAGAGCCGACTGATGTTGCACACACTGCTCTGATGGTTGAGCAGAGCTAAACCCCGCCCACTAACACATAACCCCTCCCCCCCCTCTCTCTCTCTCTCCTTTCATTCACACCATCGCTCTTTCCCAGCTCTCTGGCACATTTTTCAGTCCCTCGTCCTCTTTTCCATCGTATTTTCTGCAACGGCCGACTGCCTCTCCCTGTGATATGACTCAGCTAGAAACGCTGCTCTGAGAAAGGCTTTTCACAGGAAAACCCCCTCCTTGGGATGTTGAAGCGCACAACCACTGTATCATTATTTGCTTTGAATGCTAAATAAACCATCAGCGCAGACATTCACACATAGAGACATTCATGTTGTCTTGAGTGTGACACTATAGCCTATGCCATCAGCATTCACATTTTTGTTTTTTTGACTCATTATTTGATCCGTTTGCCAAAGGTTAACTTTTTTTTTTTACACAAAATTTGCTTTAAAACACGTTTTACGGCAAATATTACAACTGGATGCTACTTGGACCAACCGGCACAAAATGATGTGACAACAATGTTGGATACTATTATTTACAGGTGCATAATATGTACCTTTTCACATACTATTTTTGTACACTATGAAGTATGTAGTATTTACTACGCAGGAGTTAGTTAGCAGATGCTAGAACTGCATACCAAACATTGCGTCTGTCTAGCTCAAATAGGTTTAAAACTTAATCTAACTGAGTTCATGAAACTGAACCATACTGAATTAAACTAAATCAGACTGATTTGCTTATTTTATTCACTTTCCTTCTGTATGTTACAGTTTGATTCATTTGAATCAGTATGATTGAGTTGCATTCACTGAAATTCATTTATTACAGTCATTCTGTCCAGTTCAGTTCAATTCAAATGATTTATTCATTCTTTCTGATACAGCTTGATCGGTATGATTTAGTTTGATTCACTGACATTCTGTCTGATACAGTTAATTAAATTAAAAATTCAATTCGATTCAATGTGAATCGTTCTGATTTAGATTGATTTACTTTTATTCTGTTCAGTACAGTTTGATTTATTCGAATTCATCTGATTCAGTCATATTCCGTTGTATTCTGCCCGATTCAGTTTGATTAAAAGGATTTGGTTTCATTCTGTGTAATAAAGTTCGATTCACTTTCATTCTGTCCAATACAGTTTGATTCATTTGAATCCATCTGATTTAATTATATTCAGTTTCATTTTGTCTGATACAGTTTGATCAAATCGATTCACTGTCATTCTGTCCAATACAGTTTGATTCATTTGAATCAGTCTGAATCAGATCGAATCACATTCATTCTGTCTGATACAGTTTGATCAAATCGATTCACTGTCATTCTGTACAGTTTGATTCATTTGAATCAGTCTGATTCAGGTCAAATCACTTTCCTTCTGTCTGATAGTTTGATCAAATCTATTCACTGTCATACGGTCCAATACAGTTTGATTCACGTGGCGTTGAATAACGTGGAGAAGGGAAGAGCCGAATTCACAGTCAGACGCAGAATTCACACTGCAGTGCTAAAAGCCACTGACCTCTAAAGAGACATTCTCCAGCATCAGAAACCCCAAATCTCTCTAAACTCGCACACAGCAATCTCATGAATATTTGAGCGTGATTCTCTATAGATTAGCGTCTCTGCTTCTCTGTTAATTCAGCTGTTAAAACGCAGCAGAGAAGGAGAGCTGTACAGTAGCAGATCAGAGGGGCGTGTTGCCAAGGCAACAGCATATGAGGATCACTCGTCTTCGTGTTTACCGTGGAACCAGTCGAACTGCCATTACACACACATACACACACACATAAATGTACACACACACACACACACACACACATAAATGTACACACACACACAAAAACACACACATTCACACACATAAACGCACACGGGCGAATCTGTGACAGAATATCAGAAATCAGAAAGTGATGATTATGCAGAGAGAAAAATATATGTCAGCCTCTGTCACGTTTATGGCTCATTCACAATGACGACGGCGTGAAACGCATTCACAGTGCATTTTATGGTCATACTGCGATATATTAAGTGGGAAATAAACAAGGATGGGGAGTGTAAAATATGATAAAATGCTATTCAACTATTGGTTAATATTATTATGGCCTTGATGACATCATCATCAGAACAGGAAAGTTGTTTCAGAAGAAAATGATTATACCGATAAACGATTTTTTATTTATAATAACATGCACTGCTGAATTAACGATATACGACTAAAAACAGAAAGTAAAAAAGTAAAAACTGATCCTCCTGTTCTGTATCTTCTTTCTCACACACACACTGTGGTGTTATAGCACCCCCTGGTGGAATCAGTGCTGTATGTACATCTACATTTTACTTCACTATTTCACCACCCACTATTCAAAAGTTTGGGGTCAGTCTTTTTTTTTTTAATTAATACTTTTATTCAGCTTGGATGCATTAAATTTATCAAAAAGGACATTAATAATATGTTACAAAAGCTTTCTATTTCAAATAAATGCTGTTCTTTTGAACTTTCTCATCCTGAAAGATATGCAGCACAACTGTTTATAACATTGATAATAATCAGAAATGTTTCTTGAGCATCAAATCATCATATTAGAGTGATTTCTGAAGGATCATGTGACACTGAAGACTGGAGTAATGATGCTGGAAATCCAGCTTTGATCACAGGAATGAATTACATTTTAAAAGATATTCAAATTTACCATTTACCATTAAAATTGTAATAATATTTCACAATAGCACTGTTCTAACTGATCACTTACATGTTAGATCATTTTGATCATAAATGCAGCCTTTGTGAGCATAAGAGACTTCTTTCAAAAACATTCAAAACTCTTACCGACCCCCAACTTTTAAATAGCATGTCCCTGACCAGTGGATAATATAGAAAAAAAGAAAAGATATATCCTTTGAACGTCATTTCAAACACATTATTGTAAGCACCATCGAGGAGTAAAGCATTAGTAAAGTTAGGTTTGTTGACATGATTTATCTATATATTCAAATGAACTCAAACAGACTGCCATAAAAGTAATGAAGTGAAAATGTGTGTGTGCTTCCCTCTGCTGTCTGAGAGAGGAATGACATGAACTAAATGAAAGGCCAGATTCATCTAAGCAGTTATTTTAGCATTCTTTATATTCTATAGTATGTATTAATATTTTTAAATTAATTTTACTATAAGTTTTAGTAATTTTGTCCTTTTTACTGTTTTTTTTTATATTTCTGTTTAGTTTTTAAATGATTTTTTAGTTCAGTTTTAGTTTCAGTTGTAGTAATTAAGTTTTATTTCAGCTTTATTTTAATTACCGAAAAATATTTTTAATGGTTTTCATTTTAGTTTTAGTTAATGATAACAGCACTGGATCCAAGCATCAAAAACACACTGGATAAACAATAAAACAGACATTTCAAGCTGCAAACAATCACTGAAACCATCAGCTACAGGAAGAGCCTGTCACATGACCTCAGCAGAGACAGACCAGAGCCTTGATATTCTCCACATGATCAATCTCAGTTAAAGATCTAAACTTCACAATCTTCACTAGAGACGGAGGTAGATGGAGGAAGAGAGAGATGTAGATGCCAGCTTTATTGTAAAGATAGCTTCAGATGCAAAAGTAGATGTAGACACTGTTAAATAGTTCACCAGTTTTAACCCTGTGTTAGGCAACAGTTTCACATTTGTAATTTTGTGCTTCCAATTGTGGTGCTAAAGGTAAACAGTGAACAAACCCAGGGTAAGGTATTATCAGTGTGGAAACATGGACAAAAACAACTCGGAGTTATGTCAGCTAACATTTTTGCTTTCCAGAATGTTCTGGGAATGATAGTTTATGTTGTAAAACCTAAATAAAGCATTAGAGAAAATTCTGTATAGGTTCTCTTAAAGGGATAGTTCGGCCAAAAATGATATTTAACACATGCATTACTCACCCTCAAGCCGTTCGAGATGCATATGTCAATCTTGTTTCAGACGAACACATTTTCAGTTATTTTAGAAAATGTCTTAGACCCTTCGGTGGATATAATGTGAAGCAATGGGGTCCACCTCCTTCAAGTCCCAAAATGTGCATACATCCTTCACAAAAGTAATCCATCCGGCTCCAGGGGGATAAAAGAAGGCCTTGTGAGGGTAATCCGTGCGGTTTTGTCGTAAAAATATACATATTTAAAACTTTATAAATGAAAATATCTGACTTCCGGCAACGATCGACGCGCGTTCACGGGTGATGGAAGTCGGCGTACGAGGTAGGACGTAGCGTAGGAACCGTCGTGACGTAGAACGAACGCGCCCGCGCAGCCAGAGAGCAGAGCAAAACAAAACTACACTCAGTTCACCCTGAGTTCACCCGTGAACGCGCGTCGATCGTTGCCGGAAGTCAGATATTTTCATTTATAAAGTTTTAAATATGTATATTTTTACGACAAAACCGCACGGATTACCCTCACAAGGCCTTCGTTTATCCCCCTGGAGCCGGATGGATTACTTTTGTGAAGAATGTATGCACATTTTGGGACTTGAAGGAGGTGGACCCCATTGCTTCACATTATATCCACTGAAGGGTCTAAGACATTTTCTAAAATAACTGAAAATGTGTTCGTCTGAAACAAGATTGACATATGCATCTCGAACGGCTTGAGGGTGAGTAATGCATGTGTTAAATATCATTTTTGGCCGAACTATCCCTTTAAGGATATTACCAGGGC